CACACACACACACACACACACACGCACACACTCACACGTGCTCTGACCAGATGACCTCTCGTGCTCCGCACCACGTGCACAGCTGATCCTCTCTCATCCTCCTCTCTCTGCACCGGCGCGTGATCTCCATGGTAACGTGGTCACGCAGGAGGAAGTGGTCGGGACGGTCTGACAGTGACTCTGTTGAACAATGGCAGCTAAGGTAAGCAGCTGAGGAGTTTTTTTTTTTTTTTACTTTACCTCTCGCACACACACGTTGTCCTCTCCCGGGAGGGGGCTGCCTCCTCGCCGGGGACGTGTAGCTCACGTCCCGGGACTGTCTCCTCCGGAGCTCCCCGCCCTGCTCCCTGTCTGTTAGCTTGTTAAGAGGATGTGCTGGAGGTTAACGCTGCTCATTCACAGCTATGACATTGAGGCTTCACTGTAGCCTGTTAGCTACCTCACGTACTTTTCTCTGACAGTGTTAAAGTGCCTGAGCTGTTTCAATAATAATGTTTAGTGCAGCAGTGGTTGTTGCTGCTCTTCATCCACCCCCTGCTCCTCCCAGGCCCCTTCTCCTCCTCCTCCTCTTCACCAGTTTGTAGCCACCTGTAACCTTGGTTAGCATCATGCTACATGTCATGGCATCCTGTCATAAACCACCTGCAGGTGCCAGGAGCTTCCAGGAGCTTTGTTTACAGCCAGTATGTTCAGAAACTGCTTTAATTCACACGCTCACATCAGCTTTTATTATCATGGACGATTAAACACCTGCTTTCCAGCTGCTTTTATTAATAGTTTTTATAACATCACAACAGCTCCAGCATCACCCTCTGTGCAGTGGTTCCCAAACAGAGGTTTGAGGACCCTCTAAGGGCCACGGGAGGAATCAAGGGGGGTCACGAGCTGATCAGCAAAACAGATTTCTGCCTAACAAGATCAAGTTTGAGAGAAAACACAGACACTTTCCAGAAGTTTTGAAATTCACTGACTCCTTCAGTGACTAGAACTTTTTACAAAGGGATACAGTAGCCAGGCTTTGTAAAAAGCTAGTTAGTTTAGCTTTAGTTTAAAATAATTAATTACAGTCATATGATAGCGTTTTGCGTTTTACATTTTGTTATTCTGTGATATTATTAAAGGTAGGGTTGTTAAGTTGTTGTTGATGTCTTAATCATATTTGTTGAAATCCTCTTCACCCCCTGATAGGTATCAGTCAATATAACTGCGGTCTGTGGCCCTCGCAGCTGTCATACACAGACCAATCATTTCATTCTCACCAAATGAAATGATTGTGCTCTCACTGCACACGACCGGCGTTCTTCAGCCAGGGACACGTACTTTGCTGAAGCAGCGACAATAGCCAGAAGTTATTAAGAGAAGTCGGCTTCTAGCAGTTGTCAGGCAGTGCACGTTCATATGTTTTGGGGTTTAGCATTAACAAGAGGGCCTGTGGGTGTGGGGATGTATCAGTTGTATATTTTCAAAGTGTAGCCTGCTCTCATTGGCTTTTCCTTGATTATCAACCATAGCTTTAACTGGCCACCACCTCAAGCAGGGGTCACATGCAGATAGACGTTGTTTGTGAGGGTCGCAGAAAACAGGATGACGACTGTGATATTGATACATTGCAACTATTGTGTTCACTCAGTGTCCATAAGAGTTGTTTTCACAGAGTACTCACTTTCTCTTTTGCAGGCAGTTCTGCCTAGGAGGGCCGACCCCACTGAGCTGAAAGCCATTTTTGAAAAGGTTGAGTTTTACTTATATATTGTTCTTTTATGTTTGTTTCTTGCCAAAGAATCTTTTCACTCATTGTTTGATTTATGTTGTTTTTTTGGTATAGATTCTAAAGCTCAGCGGCCGTCCTCTTGTCTGTATCTGTTTTTCTCTTTATAGTATGCCAGTGTAAAGAAGAACGATGAGCACTTCATGTCGCCGCAGGACTTTGTGGGCCATTTCCTCAATGCCCACACAGACATCCGGCTGTCGGAAGAGGCCACAAAGCTGCTTGCAGGAGTGGTGGACCAGAAGAAAGATGGGTTGGTGTTCACACATTTCACTTTTAATATAAAGTGATGTGATACTTCATATAAATTAAGATGCTGGTTAACTTTGAAATTGTCAGATTATCCTTCTAGTTTGTAATGTATGAAAAAAACTGATGTGGTAAGGCCTTGTCTGCGTTACCGCGAATGACAGCGAATGCTCAAACAAGCAAAAAAACACAAGTAAAATCTTTCCTGACTTGAAAAACCTTTCTTGTGGACAAGAGGTACAAAGAATATCTTTAATAGTGTGGACAGAGCGTAAGAGATGATGAAAACTGATTTGTCACTAGATCTGAAAAATATAGCTGTTGGTTTTTTACAAAATGGTGAAATGAACCAACCAAATAATGTCTTGTGAGGTTTGACATAACCACCAAATATTTCTGGCAGCATTTGCTGATCTGACTGTCTGCGGAATCTCTCTTTATGCAACAAACTTCTCCCCTCTCATTAATATTAAGCCAACTATGAAGTTAGCCTGTGACAGACTCTTATCAAAGCGTTGCATTATGTATCGCTTTGATCACGCATGAATACCTCTCTAGTGTTGTTTTGCATTTTACGAACAAACCTCCAATTGAATCCTTTGGTGTAAAAAATGCACAGAGAGTTGTTCATACCTGAATTATGTAGCAGAGACATCAAACCACTGAAGGCCCCTTTCAGGTGTTTCCTTCTTTGTAGATACACCCCCAGTTTCACACTTACTCCTCCCCCCATCCCCATCACCCCTGTTTTTTTTTTTACATTAATATGTATGTATTTAATGATACATAATGATGGGTAATAAAATGTTAGGGTAAGTAAAAAAAAAAAAAAAAACTACATTGCCATGGTAACCACCTGGGCTTCTTCAAAGAGCAAAGTGCACAGGCTGCGTAGTTTTGTGTTATTACATCTGCTTTAAGGTGTGTGTGCAGAGGACACTGAGTGGGGGTTTATGGAATTGAAAAAAGAGATAGAAGGCACACGCACACACACGCACACACACACACACACACACACACACACACACACGCACACACACGTGCACTGTAATTGCCCACGCTATTCAGGAGCACTCCGTTGCATTGTGCAGCTCTGGAGCAGGATAAATGGTGGCCGTGGCATCAGGGTAAATCTATTAGGAACCCATGGCCCAGGCTTTGTATCTAAACCTCATTTTGGTTTTGTGGAGGGGAATGGAAATGATATGGGGGCAAAACAGGAAAAAAAGTATTTTTTTATCCCTGTTCTCCCAAATAATGTTTGGACCTTTGTTTAGATGTGATTTGTTTTTTACAGTTGATGCTGTAAAGGCGTTATAATACTCAGACTTTAATGTATCATTTTTGATGGATCCTGTAAGTGATAAGACGAGTGCAGATGATTATTCCGCCGACCTGTGAACACAAAGCAAATAGAAAAAAACACAAATGCTTTGTTTTTCAAGCGCAGAGCCATGCGAAACTCGTGAAAAGAAAAGGAAGCAAGACAAAACAAACCACTTAAATGACTGCATTTTCCATCCAGCTCACTCCATCTCATGCAAATATGTATGTGAACAATAAGTATTTGTTGCGATATGAGCGTAATATATTTGAAGCATGTGCGCCTGCTGCAGTTTTTTTGCCAGGTATGGCTGCATTTCAATGATATGAGTAATAGATATAACAGGGGGTCGGATGGGGTTCTTTTTCTGTTGGACTGCATCCGTGTGATAGAAATTTTACTTAGATGCCAGGGTGTAAACAGTGAAAATGCATTTGTGTGACTACCTCTCCCATGACTGTGTAAATCAGGGGGATATAGTGACAGTTGTAACAATCTGTTATGTGGAAATCACTGCTCTGCCTCTTATTCTTGCTGCCTCCAGTAAGATAGAGACACAGACATGATAGATAGATAAATAAACACATAAGGAGAGAGAGAAAGAGAGAGAGTTGAGGCGGTGGAGGGTGCAGAGTTATTCAGGGATAAAATATTTTGTGTATTACAACACAGTGTTAAGATTTTGCTCTTTCACTCCACTTATTTATGTCCTCTCTTCTCTTTTAACTTTCTTTACATGCTCTCTCCCCCCTTGTCTCTTGTCTTTATCCCCTCACGTACCTTAATGCACTCTGCTTTCCCTCCTTTTTGTTTCACACTGCCTACCTTTCTGCTTCTCTATTCCTTCTCCCCTCTGATATTTTGATAGAAGCATCTGTTCAAGTGTGAAAACACTTTCACCCATAGACTCTTGGAAGAAAAAAAAAAACTTTGTTAAGGGAGCATGCTGGGAAAATAGCAGTCTCCACGCTGCTGTGGCCATTCTGGTATCAGGGCTGGTGGGTGTCCACTTTTACAAACCGAACAGATCCCGGCATCTTGCACTCACCTGGGTGTGCGTATGTGTGTGTGTGTGTTTGGGGTGTGTCTGTGTGCGCAAGTCTATGTAAGAGCATGCTCTGGGCGGGTGGAAGGCTGTCGGTAACAATGCCAAGATGCCAGCGACAGGGGATTATTGAAGTTACATCCAGGCCCGTCTCTCTCACTATCAACAAAGGAGACATGTCTTTTCTATCAGCGGGGCCAAAGCAACATGCATTTATGTTGCATGTAAACAATGTTTCCGAGCCCGGCTTTTGGTTCAGGGGAGCGTATTTAGATGCCTGCTGGGAAGAGACAGAGCGATAAAAGCGGGGTGATGGAGATGTGAGAGTGAAAAAACAAACAAAAATAGAAGGAATAGAGGATGGAGTTTGGACAGAAGTATCAGAGACAGTTTAGATCGTGTTGTATTGGCATCATAACAGAAGCATAATTCAGCTGTCATCTGAGGAAACATGCTGGAATCAAGTCTTTATTTATGTCTTGATGATTTCAGGCATATGTCTGTGTCTGTTTAAAGATTTAATAAAGTCATGCAGAATTATGTAAGCACACAGTATGCTGAAGAGACGCCACAGTATCACATTAGCCTCGTCTCCTGAAGTTCATCTCGGGCTGCGTACACGGATTGGGCAGCCCTGGACACATGCCACAGCAGTTGATGGTTGGGAGATGCTGTCGGTTTGATTTGATTATTGAGTGTCTCGTCGGGGATGGGCCCACATAGCAAAAACGATGGCTTCTCCCCCCTCCTCTCCCATGGTAATCATTTCGCAGCCGTCATGGCGCTGCTAATCAACCATCATAAGCTTCATCCCCGGCTATGGAGCTGTGTGTGTAAATGCTTGAGAGTAATGTGGAATGTTTCTTATGTGTGTGTGTGTGTGTGTGTGTGTGTGTGTGTGTGTTATAGAGATGCCCCCTGGATCTTGTCTGGAGTCCCCCGCTCTAAACCGTGGTCCAATCCCCCCCTTCCATGATCAACAGCCCGCTCAGTTACACTAATATGCTGATTATCCATGTCTGGGAAAACACAGACGGGATGACCAGTGTGCATGTCAATTGATGAATGTAAAGAAAAAAAGAAAGAAATAAGATTCCCCCCACCCCCCCACCCCCTTGGCCCTGTCTGGGAAACTGTTGCTGAGACTTTTGCTGCCTGAGCCTGGTTCAACTCCTCTATTAGCCTATCTGGGGTAAAATCTCTGAGTGAACTGTACATGAGTCACAAAGGAATGATCGTTATTGGAGAGTTTGATAATACTCCAGCTGTGTTAGCAGCGATGGCATTGGCCTTGTTTTTTTTAACAGTTCATCCGCAGTTACAGCTGTGTGCTTTTGTGCCCTCTTTCACCTCCTTGCTGTTAGCAGCAGCCTGCTCTTAATAATGAGCTGCATTGTTAATAAAACAATTTGTCTTCTATTTTAAACAACGACCCCAGGTAGCAATCTTTAAGCTCACTGTTATTCCTTCACCATATTTCTTTCAGTTCCTCCCTCTCCACACACATTTTTTCTAGTGCACTCCTGCCTTGTATTATACAAGTATGCGTTTCTGGGTTTGTACAGAAAGCAGTTTTTAATTTGAGTGTTTTGTATTCACTGTTTTCTTACTCATTTCTTTTTCTTGAACATTTGAAGGGAGGAGTAACATCTTTGCAGTCGACATTGAAAAGACTTTAAAGCCAGTAATCTGAACAGTGCTTTTCAACCTTTACAAAGCCTTTCCGGTTCTCAGCAATTATGTCCCTTTTCTTGGTATTATTTCAGAACCAATACATTTGCTCTGTCAGTTTCATATATGCAGTATTTCTCTACATGCAAGTATAAAGATGCACATAAGCACCCATATCCAAACCCTACACGATCCTCGTCCAAACAAACATTTCAAAATTTCATCAGTAGCATAATTAATTAAAGCTACAAGGAAACTGTAATCATTACAACCCCCCCTTCCTCCACACACTCCCCCCATGAAAATTGAAATAGGTTTAATAAATGGATGCTCGGGGACTGCTCATTAGCACTGACCCCCTCCTGTAATTATCAGATCCATTTGTGAGATTCATAATGGACTTGTTGCGACTGCGATCCAGGACCTAAATAAAGGCGAGACTGCGTGGTCCAGTTCCCCACAGCAGGAGTCTCCCAAGGGAGCTCTCAGTGGGTTCACACAATAGCGATGTTTATGTTCGTTGTTATTATTATTTTTATCTTGTTGATAATGCCAGTGGGTACTTGTGTGACTATAGGGGGACAGGATATAATAACACAACACAGATAAGCTTGGAAAAAGATCTGTCAACTCACAACTTGTGTCTGGAGATGAAACACAAGCTGTGTGAAAATGTTGTATCACGATTAAAGTGACCAAAATGCTAATATAGAGCAGAGTAGATTTCAGATAGATACAAATAATGATGTCTGGAAAGAATCCAAAGAAAAACTTCAAAACTTTCACGCAGTAGTGGAGGAGAGACGGATAACAACTCATCACCTTAAAAACAGAAGTTGACCCCAATTTTTAGAGAGTCAGGACAAAATATCACACAATTTGACAAGAGTGGATGCTAGCACTTACTAGCTATGGCCAGAGTGCTACCAGCCCTCCTGCTGCTCCAGGCCTCCGCCTGCCTGGTCCGCCTGCCTGGTCCGCCTGCCTGGTCCNTCCGCCTGCCTGGTCCGCCTGCCTGGTCCGCCTGCCTGGTCCACCTGCCTGGTCCACCTGCGCCTTTAAAGCAAACCTCTGACTTAGTAAACTGAAATAAATCTGTTGCTCTGACACCGCCTGCTGCATCGTCCTGCCACGTTTTTAAAATACACAACATATGTTGTTCTTGCTGCAGCTGTGTCTTGGAGACTTGTTAACTTTGGTTGATGCTGGTCAGAATCAACCAAATCACGTAATTAAAGGTTGAAATGGTACACCTAACAGTTAGGAATTGTACCACGGTATACCATTAAACTGGTAACCATACTTTATTTCCCTCCTTGCCTTCTCTTGACTTCTACACATCAACTTAATATCGTGTTCTGTTGATGCTGAATTGAATTATACTGTATTTTATGTCTCCCAACTCCCTCCTTGCATGTCTACTTGTTTAAAATGGCACACTGAAATATGAAACTTCATATTTAATCATTTTTCTCCCCTTGCTGTTGTAAAGTTGGCCCTTTCTATACCAGCTGCCAGCTCAAACCGGGAACACACACTGAGCTCTTTAAAATGTTTTCTTTTCTCGCTGTCACACTCGATGAATTTATGACATTACATATGGAAGAACAGACTACCGACTAAAAGGAAGCTTGAATTACATGTAGCGCAGATTGATAGGTTGTCTAAGTGTACTAGTGTTTTAGTTCAATGCAGTGTTAAAACAACTTGTTTTTTTTTTATTTAATATTATTCTAGGTCTTTACTAGGTACTGTTAAATGAAGATCAGTGACTCTGTATTTGACATGTGTAACTGATTAAGTATTTATACAGGAAACAAAATACCGCAGTAATACATTGAAAAAAGACAGTATTTTACAGTCTTTAACAGTCCTACGTGTCCTCTTTCTGTCTGCCCTCCTCTCTTATTTCAGGTTGATCTCCTTTCAGGAGTTCGTAGCATTTGAGTCGGTGCTGTGTGCCCCGGACTCCCTCTTCATGGTTGCCTTCCTGCTGTTTGATAACGCGGGCAATGGAGCGACCGCTTTTGGTGAGTGACTCCTGCCTCTGACTTACTGAATTAGTGAACAATGTTCTTTGTGTGCAACTGTTAGCATGTATTATCCTACAGGTGCTGTGCTGCACCTTACAAGAGATATTATACTCATCCTTAAAAAACACAAACCTCAGAAACTAATGATCTGAGAATTTTTCCCCACCACTTTAAAATATTTCTTTTATTTATTTATCACCTGTGCCAAGGAGATTATCTTTTCACCTCTGTGCGTTGATATTTTTTCCAGCGTGTTTATGCAAAAACTACTCAATGGATTTCCATAAAACTTGATGGGATATGGGCCACTCTTGAAGCCCATTGGCTATCACGTGATGATGGCTTAGCCTCTGGGGGCAACGGCTAATATTTTGGGGCCTCCAGTGTAGACAGAGGATTTCTGGGCGAAGACTCCATCTTCCGTTCTATGTTGAATGAAACATTTCTTAACACAAAACACTACTATATACATACTTCTTACTTAAATATTACTAAGATGTTGGAAGTCGAGTAGAGATAACACCTTGTATTACATTTTTGAGCCATTTCAGCAGGGAATAGTTCATGGATCTCAGAGCCTTTTTAGTGATGTCTTCACTCTTCTGGGAGTTAGTTTTTCATAGACTAGTAACTATAATTTTGCCTTTATTTCATTTATTTTAAAAATCTTGATTACTCCATCTCCTCATGTTATTTATTAGGGAAACCATGTCATGGTGATACACATGTTCTTATTTGATTATTTGACAAAAAACTCATCTTTCTGCCAGTTCTTATATTCAGGGTTTTAATGTGTGTCCCAGTCACTTGAAAACTTGAATCAGGATGCATTGGGACTAATGGTGTTATGTAAACATGAAATTAAAGTTCCGGTCTCAACACTGCATCTGTTTCTGCATCTGCAGACATTTTTATCCAGTCCAAACAGAGCACAGAGGGTCCCTCTTAAAAGTGCCACTGAAGAAGTTTGCATGCAAAGTCCTCTTTATTTATGTGGGGTCTGAACTCTGCTCATCTTCTCTGTCTTGGTCACATCCACAAACAAAAATAATGTAACTGGAGGAGGTGGGTGGGTAACTCTACGTGTGTGTGTGTGTGTGTGTGTGTGTGTGTGTGTGTGTGTGTGTGTACACATGATTGGCACCATTACTCTGATGCCTGGAAGCTCTGAGGTGAAAGGCAAAGACATTTGTACTCGTTGCTTATTTCACATTTGCCTAATTGATTTAAACAAGTCAAATGCCAGCCTTCTGTAGGTGTGCGAGGCGTCAGCACATTAGGCTTGATTTGAAATGCGGCGCACACGTCCTGCTCGCAAACAGTGAAGAGTAAGTGAATTTCATTTTAATTGTTGCTGTCGACAGGGTGCAAGATCATTGCTGATTATATATGCATATATGTAAATTTTCATATTTAAAAGGATCAATTAGAGTGACGTTGTCTTGGTGGCAATTAAAAGGGCTGCTGTTTTTCTGCGTCTCCCAAAGGTTAATGAATATCCCAATGCCTGTGCACTATGAGACTCACACACAAGTGGAAAATTGCATGAAAAACATAACACACATCACGCCATGCACAAACACTGACTCCAGTGTCTGCCACTTTCATCGGGATACCATTTCATGAAAAGCAAATAACTTGTGACTGAGATTATAGACTTGTCAAAGTTGCTTTATTGTGATACATTACAGAATTCTCCCTTTTTTTCTCCTTTCTCTCTTTTTCTCTTTGCCGTTCATTAGATTAAAGAACATAAAGAACTCGCTTTTTTATGACCTATTAAAAACATTGCTGCAGCGCAGGTTGCATTAAAAGACCAGTTTGTTCTCCCATGCAATAAATGTCTGTGCTCTGATTTCTTTTTATTTAATTTTTCTGTAAAGCCATTTTAATTTGATAATAACCTGAGTAATTTCAGTTAAGCACAGGCGGCTAAGCGCTGTGAGTTTTTAGCACTTAAAAATGAAATGCATAATTTGGTGGAATGCTGAGTTCATAAAAAACGTAACATGACATATGAAATGCAGTTGTGTCTCAGCCTGAAAAGACAAAAAAAAAGAAAAAACTGAAAGAGGACTGAGTGTTGACAGGTCTATAAAGGCTGATGATATAAACGGCAGGCTGTGGACCGGCCTCTCCTTTAAAGAGTTAAAGGCTGTATATTTATTGCCTCATTAAAGTGTAAAAAAAACAATAGCCGAGCTGTCTTTCTTCTGAAGGTAACTCTGAGCTGAGGTAAATATCACCTTTCTCTCTTTCCCTTCTTCCCTCCCTGTCTGTCTTGATAAAAAAGTTGTTTCTTTCCTCCTTTTCCTTTCTGCACTCGTTCAGCGCGGCTTGTTTGGTAATAAGAAACAGGTCACTCTATCGGTTTGTTTTTGTTTCTTTAGTAAGGCTGTAATTTAGGACTCATGTTCAGTGTCTCTCCACTCCACTGGCTGCAGAGGCTTAGAGGGTTCAGGCAGAGGAACACAAGTGAGAAGGAAAGACTTCTCCTCCTGAACGCAGAGCCCTGCAAGGCTCAAACAAGTTCTGCAATGTGTCACTCAAGACGCGTTCATTCAAGATTTAGAGTTGGGAAATTTTCTTTCAGGGTGGAATCGTGTTCTTGAGATTGATGTTGACATTTGTCAGAAATAATCACTCTCCCTCACCAAAATCAAATAATTGCTAATGTTAGCCACAAGATAGGAAACATATGCAATTTGTTAAGACCTGACTCACAAGACTTTGAAAACTAAAAACCTGATGGTTGTTTGTTATGAAAAGCTGAATGTGCAGGGAGAAGTTTTATGCATCGTCAATGTAAAGTAATTTGCTTTAAAAGTGGGTTTTATTGTGTTAAACCTTAACAAAACTATTCAATACTCGTAATAAATTTGAAAAGAAAATTGTTGCGTCATTGGTTAAGTTTTCTGTATTTTAACACAGGAAATCATTGGCTGAAGTCTTGTTTTTGATGTGCTTTTACCTCAGTGCTTCCAATTATTGTTACTTTATATTTCTACTCTCTTTCAGAGGAGAGTGTTCTACTTTATAGCATCTATGGCCATTTGACACAGTTATGACTATAACTGTTACTTAGCAAATTAACCTGTGTCAAATTGCACGCAGTCATAAATATCAGTCCCTTAAACATGCCTGATTTTTAAAAATCAAGATCCATAAATTATTCTCTGAGAAATCAATGAAAATGTTGAAAAACACACAATGTTAAAGAAAGAAAATACATTTTGGATCCACATTAATATTTAATGGGTTCATCCCTGACGCACCCTTCCAACATAATTATAGGATGATACAATTGGAGAAACAATATAAAATGTTAGAATTAGCTGTACATTTAGCAGTAATATAACAGTTGTGTTGCTTCATTAACTGTATAGAAGATCCGACTTCTTCCTTGGAAATGCTTCTACACTGCCTCATAGTTGTTGCTCTAGTTATCATTTATTAAAGCAGGTGCTTGTCTCTCTTTTTCTAATCTCCCCTGCAGAGGATGTGAAGCAGGTCTTCAGCCAGACGACCATCCATCAGCACATCCCCTTCAACTGGGACTGTGAGTTCATACAGCTGCACTTTGGAACGCAGAGGGACAAGCAGCTTGGCTACGGAGAGTTCACCCAGTTCCTCCTGGTAGGTTTTGTGCTGTTTGCCTGTAGAGCTGGGGCGTTAAAACAACTTCAGTAATTATCACAGTATGATTGTCATGAAGAGCAATATAACAAAAGTTATATATATATATATCAATGTATTGCTGATGTCTTGTGTAAGCACAGAGAGGAGGTTTACTTATAAAGGTCCTACTTCAGATTTGTAAAATGTTTTGCTGTTYATCTAGTGTTTGTCATTCTCTGCTCATAAAGAAGAGTTTAAAACCACAACCTTCACTCAGGACCAAAATGTCCTTTTAAACTGAAAAGAAATAATGTGACATTTATCATGATAATAATTGATATGGACTGACATGAACATTTTAATTTTGATATCATTTTTGGCTATATCGCCCAACTATGCGTTTCTTTCTTTAGCCTTTTTGTCTAACTGACAATCAGTGAGACTCAATACATTTGAATCAACCAGTTTATGTGCGCATACACATTTCTTTATCCTCACATATTTTGTATGTAATGGTATATATGCAACCTTATTGTTAGATATTTATCTCAGCTTGTGCAGACAAATGTGCATACACACTGCTTTTTTATCCCTCTTAAACACAGCCCTCCATATTGTCCACATTAGTCATTAATGAAACACTGAGGTTTCCTTATATATTTGGGGAAATTTTCTGCATTTGTTTTTCATTAGCTGACGTACACCTAATCATAACCCTGCTCCACCTATTCTCGAGCAGGTATAGAGACAAAAAGTTCTACCTCCATAAATAGTATCGCTGGAATATTCTTCGTGTGTTTGTGGCGTGTGAGCCATTTTCCAATATGATGTCTAGACTTAAATCATGCCCAAGCCAGGGAGAGGTGGTGGAGGGGGTGGGTGAGAGAGCCAGAGCTGTGCCAAGTTTGCATCCACACTCACCATGTATTTGAATGAGCTTTTTATATTACACTTAACTTAGACCAGATGGCTTACACACAGTGGGCAGCAGCGCATTGATATTGGGATATTGTTATATGTATGTGTCCTGGTGTGTGCGAACATATAGAGTGTGTGCCTATAAATATGTCTGGATCTATATATGTGTGTGTCTTACTTATCTACTCCAGTGGATGTGTGAGCAGCGGCATAAAAGCCTTATGCAACTGTGTTTGTGTCAGTGTTTGTATGTGATTCTTTTTTATCCTTTGTGTGTGTGTATGTGTGTGTGTGTGTGTTTGCGCGTGCACGAGTGTAATTGTGTGGCGTTGTGGCCAGTAGATGCTGTACTTTGCATTGACAGCGTGCCCAGTTCTCTCTCAGTCAGTCACTCCGTGGTTTCCAGCTCTTCACAGCGGCAGGCCAGCAGCCAGCCGCTCTCATTGCTCAACTATGAAATGCACATTTCCTGCTTATGCTCTCTGTATTTGATCATTTTTCATAGCTTTTGATTCATGCCTTAATAAATGGCAGAAGTTATTATACATTTTTTTACATGATGCCTCTCTTTGTAGGTAAGCAATGTTCCACAGAGAATCTTTCTTTCTATCATTTACTACCTTTAGAACTTTTACTTTGTAAAATATTTTACTTGATAGCTTTAATGATGTTGTGGGCTCTAATAAATTAAGTCACATTAATGAGACACTGTAATGGTACATTACTTGCTGCAATTATAGTTACAAGTGAAATTCAGGTATTGGCAGTTCACTCCTATAGCGTGTTATCAGTGACTAAAGTGATTGATGACAAGGCAATTAGGATTGTCACTGAAACATTTCCTGAAGCAGAATTTAAACCTGTGCAATTACCACATACTTTATGGCTGCACTACTACACAGTGTTGTTATGATACCCTTGTTAAGCCTTTGTAAATGGCAGCCTTAAAGAAAACTACACTGTGCAGCTATAGAAGTTCTCAGAAAGTGGTTCAAAGCAACCCGCACATCATTTTCTGAATATTTCTCACTTATTTTTATAATTTCCTATCACCCGACTTCTTTCCCCTCCAGGAATGTTCCCATCCTTTATATCCTCCTCTTCCTGCCATACATGCATGTGTTTATTGTGTTTTTTCTACCATTGTAACCACGCCACTGCCAGATGCTCACAAGATGGGATTATCGGGGAAAACGTTTGCACCGCATATTTCTCACAAGGGCTCTCTCTGGCCAATTACTGCCTTGATGGAAGCCAGAGATTCTCACCAATTACATGCATTTTTCTCGTCTCGTGCGTGGAAGCTGTCCAAGGCTCGGCTCCGCATTGTCAGCGTGGTGTTGTCTCTGGCAGTGGTTTTACCGATGTCCAGAGAAGTGGCACACAGTGGCACACTTAAGCCCATATTATAAATGCTGGCAAGTAAAGGGCTTGAATTACATGGAGGGGACACCACATGTCCCACTTCTTTCCTAAGTACTCAAAAAAAAAAAAAAGCAAATTGTTGGCATTGCTGGGATTTTAAAAGTCCCAATTATATGTTTGACTCCCCCAAGAATCAGTGGGCAGCCCTTACCATCAGTGTGTCGAGGGCTCAGTGGCACACATGTAAATGGGCAGTTGTGCTTAGGCTTCTCCTTATAATAACTTTAGCCCCGTGCTGATGAGAAGCAGAGATTGGAAAAGAGAGCAACGATCGTGCTCCGTTCAAATCTGTTGTTTAAGTTTTGAAGAGAAGGGGGAAGAGAATCGCAGCCATTGAAAACAAACAGAGGTGGCCTGTCATGTGTTTTTATTCTTGTCCAAGGACAATTAAAGCGACTGCAAATGCCTCGGCGGTCTCTCGTTGGCTGTCTTAAGCCCCCAGCTTTATGTCTCCTGCCTCACTCTCCTCCTAAATAAAAACCATATCCCTGAAACACTCATACAGTTGCAACAAGTTAAAGTTTTAAGAGGCTGAGACTATAAACTGCTCCATCCCCCGGACCACAGTTGTTTTGTTGATCTGTGTGGTTGCAGAGTGGCTTTTTAGACTTTTGACTTGTCCAAAAAAAATGGGATCTAATTTTTCATTTTCGTCATTTACCGATGGACACAAACACACAGATGAATGTTTACCCTTATTTTTGTACACAAGACACAGGAAACACAAATCATTTCTTCACCTTCCTTTTGTTTTTGACTTTAGATATTTAGCTCTCCTTCTTTTTCCCCTCTTCCCAGTTTATTTCTCACCAAAGTGCTTTGACCTACTCACAACCGACCGGAGAAGTGAGTCAAGACATCCAGGATGCTGACACCAAAATATCTCACCTTATTTACTTTGGAAGTGTTTACTTGTGTCAGTCCCTCTTCGTTTCCTTGCCTTCCACTCGCTCATACACTCCCTGGAGCACCCGCTGTGCTCATAGGTGATACTGACACATGACTGCTACATTTGCTGTTTTCGCAAATCTGGCTCTTTTGTTGCAATGTCTATTCTTACTCCCCTCCGGTCTCCATTCAGCTTTGTGTAAATGTCACTCTTCCCCAGTCATTTCTCCTGGGCGCCGTGAATTTAGAGTTCGATCAGTTATGCTGTCAGTGGAATATCACTCAAATTCAGCGCAACAATAAGTCATCTCATAGGGTTTTGTGTTGTTGTAATACCACTTTTTTGAGTTGTATTTATGACAATAACATCTGAATCAATCAATCGATTAATGTCATGCATGTTCAGGATTAAACATTGCGGCTTGTAAAAATAATGTCCAGTGTTCAATGTGTTCCTACTGGATTTAATTCTTGTTAGTTTGTATTTATGCAACTGTGTATAATAAATCTACTTAATTTAGCAGGATGATGCTTTTTTTTACAGAAATATTTTATATTATTGCACATACACAATTCATTATTAATAAATCTACTGATTATTTCTCAATTAATCAATTAATAATTTAGTATTTTAAATGAGAAGAAATGTGAGAAATTGTTAATATTGTTTGTAAAAATTATAATATTCAGATCACATCAACATTTCGAAAACCAAAGATATGTATATATGAATAAAATGAAAGAATATAAGAATAAAAGAACACCTACCAAATCAAAACATTTGATACATTTTTTTCTACTGAAAAAATTATAAAAAAGATCAATTGAATATGAAAATGGTAGCAGATCAATTTTCTGTCGATCAGCTAATCATTTCAGCTCTTTGTGTATGTTGGAAACGACACTAGAGAATAACAATAGAAGCCTTTTGTTACATGACTGTTTCAGTTGAGTAAACATGTATATAACTCTAATGTTCTGAAGGGTGAGTCATCTAGGCCTTTGTATTGTGTTGCCATTGGTCACAAGCGTTGTACATAAAAAAACAAAACCCTGATGATTTTCTTTGCTGTATTGCTTTCTTGACCTAAAAGCCATAATTCACTTCAGGTGAGTCAACAGCCAAATCAATCAGTCAGAGCTGGCTGTCCTTAATACTCAGGGCCGTGTTTCTCAATGACTCTTTGTGGATTATTATTGTTCTGATAACCCTGTCTTGCTGTGACAGAGTGTCTCGTTGTAAGACAGAGAAAGCCTCGGTGGCAGCGGTTTGTTTACTGCCTCTCTCTGTAGACTTGTGGTTACAGGTACTGATAATGGCTGCTAATTTCAAAGGCCTTGTGGGATCCGTCCCCACCACAGCCTGCTGTTGTCCCTGTGGACCTTTGTGTGTACGCGTGTGCAAGAAGAGCGACAAAGTGAGCAGTTAGGTGATTAGCCGTTTTTTCCTGTGTGTGCACGTCTCTGTGTGTGTATGTCTCTCCCTCAAATGGGCTTAATAGGGACTTGGGGATGGTGTGAAAAGCCCAAGTGACGCCTCACAGTAGGCAAACCGCTGTTGGGCCGAGGAGACGAGGCTGAAGCCTGGCCAAACTCTGGCTCCCCATAACTGAACAAGAGGGGGGACAGTACCAGGGGGCCCATCAAAGTAAACGCTTGTGTTTTTATACATATGTGTTTATGCGTGTGAGCTTATGTGGATTTTAATTTATGAAGGCAACGTAAAGAGGTGTATGACCCACTTGTGTGTGCAATAATATTCAATTACTGTATGATCTAACACCTAGCCTCGCCTCCTTTCTTCTCTCCACTCCCTTCTTCCAGGAGATGCAGCTGGAACATGCGCGACAGGCTTTTATCCAGCGGGATCAAGCCCACAGCGGCTCCATCTCAGCTCTGGACTTCAGGGACATCATGGTCACCATCCGGCCACACATGCTCACGCCCTTTGTGGAGGAATGCCTCGTGGCGGTGGGTTTTTTTGTTTGGTTCTGTGGCGTTCTCATATCTATTTGTTTCACTGAGCCAAAAAGTTAGACTGGTTTAAAATGGTAAGTTTACCTGGGAGGTGTGATTTTTTTTTATCATTACATGATCAAAAATATTGCACTTTATTTAGGACAGTTTAATTCAGGAATAATTTAGTTGTACATTTTCTGGGCCATGATACAGGTGAATGTATTCTAAGCGTGTGATACAGTGAATTATCAACCAAATCTTTGACCGAATAAATACGAGATAATGCACAAATTAAACAATGTTTCATAAAGAGCACATTTACATGCATCTGTATTTGCGACTGATTTCATTTTTAAATTCAGATATCAAACGTGACATGACTAAAAAGAGGTTGGACTGTTTTCTCCTTTCTCCCTCCCTCCTTTCTTTTCTTTTCTCTTCCCTGCGTTCGCTTCTTTCTTTCACACTCCCACAACCAAACACCGTGGCTTTCCCTCCAGCTGTCTTTCTCTCATGTCGTCCGCTGCCTCTTTTACCTTTTCTGTCGCCTCTCATCCGTCCTCTCTCTCTTTTCTCCTCCTTTCATTTTTTCCCTCTCCCTCCCTCTCTCCCTCCCCCATGTCTCTGTCTCTCTCCCAACATGTCATTAAGTCTAACCTCTCTGGCACTGTCAAAGCCAAGCAGGCCGGCTGAATGGGGAGATAGAGACAGAGATAGATGGAGACTGGAGCTTTACAGTCCATCATCTTGGCCTGTGTGTTTGTGCGTGAGCGGCTGTGCATATGTACTCTATTTGTTTTGAACTCTGAGATGTTTGTCTTTTTTGTGTCTTGTCTTCTCTTTGTGTGTTAGTGTTTTTTCGCTGCATGTGTGTGTGTGTGCGTTGCGTATCTGTGTCCATGTCTTGCCCCATTTCATAAACACCTTGTAGACTCTGTCATTTTCTCCACTGTGTTTACCTCACCGACCAGACATCTTGGTGTGCAGTTAGTAAACTCTCTCACACACACATGCACACACATATATATCAAAAATCCCAGCAGCACTGCAGATACATGAAAGGCGGTATCATGGCAGCAACACAAACAGTGAAATGTTAACCTTTAATTCACTCACCGAACAAACAACCAAATAATCAGCGCCACACTCTTTCCCCCTAAATATTGTTCACCTCTCCCCCTCTGTGAAAGACTTTGTTGGATATTGTGGGAAGATCCATGTCTATAGGCTCATAGATATGAACAGATACAGAAGTATCTCTCTGTTAGGGCAATTTCACACAAGACAGAGCTTCCCTCCCATGTTGCAATCACAGGAAAACGAAGGCGACCCTCCTGCATGTGTCTGTAAAGCAAACAGTGCCATCTAGTGAAAGGAAGCTCAACATTTCCAATTGAAATCAACAGCAAAGCCCCCAAGGCTCATCTGATACTCTGGCCTTAACTACCCAACATTCAGGGAACATACTTGAACACACACACACACACATAACTATACAAGCAGTGGTTAGAGTTGCTTCTCTCAGAGTTTAGGAACCTGGCCTGATAAAGATGGGATCCTGGTTCTCATAAAAGAGTCTGTGGGCAGTCTGGAATGTCTTCGAGAGCCCAGTGTCTATTTTTAATCTGTTACCTTTTGTCTATTTTCTGCTCTTTTACCACTTCCTTCACCTCATAAAGACAGTTAATTAAACTCCCTGAGACGATGCATCTTGTGATGGAAAACCAGCGGCTGAAACAGGTTTACTGGTGGCTTGCTGGTGCCAATGTTGACGTGTGTTTTTCTTTTTTTTTTGATTTTCCTCCATTACAATCTAGATACATCCCTCAATCATTTATTCTATTTGCACCACAACTGTGTTTATGGTGTTTTATGTGTATGTTACTCCGTCGCCTGGTAAATTGCTCTGCTTCTTCCTCGCCCAGGTTGCGGGAGGCAGCACATCTCATCGCGTCAGCTTCTCCTACTTCAATGGCTTCAACTCGCTGCTCAACAACATGGAGCTGATCAGGAAGATCTACAGCACCCTGGCCAGCCACCGCAGAGATGTTGAAGTCACCAAAGGTAAATTACAAAAACTCACATAGACATATAATAACACAGGGAGATTTACATTTATGAGTATATAAGAATGTACACACATGCAATGATGTTTTCTACATGTGTGCAGTGCAAGACGATGGACAGAATAAAGGACACACACTTACAAGAAATATGAGCAATGTATGTGTTTACTAATACTGGACTACGGGCAATACTGAAAGTATGTTCCAGATAATGTATTTAAATGTGTGTTTGTGTGTGTGCGCTGAAATGAGGTTGGAAACTTTGTTTTTGTGTGGTTTTCTTCCTTCCCGCTGGCATTTAAATGGGCAGGCTGGATCCAACCCAGCACACGTACTGCATACCCGCAATCCCTGATGGTGCCTGTCTTTTCTATTAGACATCCTGGCACTGATCTGTGGACCACTTTGTACATCCTGGGATGTCTTTGGTTGATAACGATTCTTCAAAGAAATAAGGAACATCTGATTGGTCAGAACGATGTGCTCACTTTTGTGGCTGTTACGTTTACATCCTGTAGATCAAGTGAAGCTTCAGTGCTGCTTCAGTACTTCATCATCTGAATTGTTACAGGGAAAATATGTGATATTACAAAGAACTGAAATTAATTATTTTGTTATGTGTTGATTGATTTAAAATGTCTCTCTTTCTCCCATGGTTAGTTTCTTTAAATCCTTATCTCGCTCATTGCTTGCCCAAATTGTTGTCTATCATTACTTTCCACAGTAAGGCTCTCTACGTCTCTCTCTAACGCTTTCTCCTGAGTTGGTCGTCTTAAAGAAATCATTCTGACCTCCCTCCCCTTGGCCTAGGGCCACTAGTGTAGCCTTATGATGCTATCTGAAGCCTTATCAGGGGTGTGGACCATAACTGACCCAGACCAAGAGCCCATGCGCTCCCGGGCTGTTCCCACCATGGCCACACCATGCTGGGCTTGGCTCAACCAGTGGTGGCCTCTAGCCAGCCAGACCTCCGCAGCCACCACCCTTTCACCCTCCACTGCCCAAGTCATTAAGGTCTCCTCTGGGACTCTGGTCCATGTACTACTAATGGCCCACAAATACACTCTGTCACACGCCTGTATGTAACAATTGTATGCGTATTTTGTATCACACGCTTCCCCAGCATTTCTCACATACACTCAAGCATCCAAGTACATTAACACAGCCAAGCATGCACACATGCATAATAATCCTGATTGATTCCATATGTGCAACAAGGCCACTGTTTTGCCTTGGGGATGCCGTTACAGTGCTCAACGCCTACGCAGAAGTGAGTGCACAAGTGTGTAAGTGTTTGTGTGTATGCATGAAATGGAGGCCTTTACAGTACACACTTTTTATTGAGGAAGCAGTGACCAAAAGGCACATCTTTGTAACAGGTTAAAATCAGTTGTGCTGATGGAGCATGTGTAGTTGGGGCCAGAACTCGTGATATGTGAGACAGATTCACTTCTGTTTATCTTCAAATGTAGATTGTACTTGTAGGGTCCTTTGATGGTTTTACCATCTCAGGTTGTTTTTGTATCAGTAATTCTTACCCTCGCTTATAGTATATAGCTTCAGGGACGGCAGTGCCAGTCAGTTGTTAAATGTTTTATTCATTTATTTGATTTTTAAGATTTGTTTTGGTGCATTTTTGCCTTTATTGAAAGGACAGCCTTAGTTTGGAGAAAGAGGGGGTAAGACATGTAACAAAGGGCCAGGTGGAAATCGAACCTGCGGTCGCTGCAAGAGGGCTCAAGCTAGCTCACCTGGTAGAGTGGGCACCCCACAGATGCATTTGAATCACTTCATCTCGTACCAAAATAAGTTTTTTCTAGCTGTCCAGGGTCCTGTATTTTGGTTCAAGTACCTGTCTTGTGTGTGTGTGTGTGTGTGTGTGTGTGT